TTACCATCTACATGTTTTCTTAGTCTTTTAACTACTTTAAGTGAGTAAAAGTTTACAGAACTGGGCTCTTTTTAAGGACCTTCCTCCTGCCCCAATATTATCTCTCAGATCAATATTTAAGTCCACATTTCTGCATTCTACACACCAAACATTCATCCAGATCTATGCTAAGGACGCACCAGGAAAAATTGCAAGAGTAAGGATATTTAACAGTACTCTATATTTCCACCAACACACACTCACATACAAGAAATATCAATTCTGCTTGAGCAAATAAAGCATGTATTTTTTTGGCAAGTGTGAATAATTCCTTTCTTCCACAACACAAAATGGAAAGATTCCCATTGAAATGAAGAAATGAACACCAGTCAGCTAGCCTGCTGGCAAGACACAAGTAACATTAATATGATTTCTAAGCAATAGGGCAACTGCAGCAATGGCAAGTTTACAGGACTTGGAAGGAAGGTGGGAAACCAGATGGTAGCCAATGAAAAAGCAGCCATGAGCAGCCCTGCCAGTTGAGATAACAAAAACAAAAAACAAAACACCTGACAGCACTGTGTCCGTTAGGGTGGCTAAAACAGAAAATACTGAAGCTGTTAACAATGTATTTAGTAGAGATCAACATTTGTGTGGTAATTCCAGAGTAATAAAGCGATAAAAATGCATCAAGCCACATTTAGCAATTTACACTAAACATTTCAGTAGTGGACAAAAGCACGCTCTGGGCCATGCTGTGACCCTTCATATTAATTCTTTGCCTTCCTGAATACTGAGTCCAAGAAGCACACTTGCTGGATGGCCTATTCAGAAAGCATATAAACAAGTCAGTGCTTTCTCTTCTACCCTGAATTTCCCTTCATGCCTCTCTCACTTTTTAAATAGATTTTTGAAGCCTGCCAACTTGTTTGGTTACAGCCCATTAATCCATTAATCTGTTGTATAGCTAAAATTACACTTCCAGAAGCAACACTGCCTGCTCCCTACACAGAAGACTACTTCTGGAAGGATTGATCTAATGGTACATGCAATCCACTGCGCTGTTGCAGAAGAGGTAGAATAGAGGTTTAAAACAAAAACTGTTCCTATCATACCCTTTTATTGTGCACCCAGATGAGCTTACCTAAAAAAAGAAACAAATTCATTATGAAAAAAAACATTGTCTTTTACACAAACATTCATTCTTGGAATTGCTACAGTAACGTGATAATTATCACATTTCCTATCTTTGCAGAGGAATGTATGCTGCTGTGATAGCTAATTACTGTACAGGAAGTAAAGAAAGCAAATATTAAATTCCCAGTTTAGCAAAGCAGCCAAGTACGTAAATTCATCTCTATTCAGCTAAATGCCTAAGCACATGATTAACTTTAAGTGCATGCTTAAGTCCCCATAACTTCAATAGGACTTTGAATCAATGGGACCCAGGCATATGCTTAAGTGCTTTGCTGAATCACAGCCTAAGGAATTAAAGGCCACAAAAAGGAAAGGAAAGAAAGATGCAAACTTTATATCTAAACAGCACTTTACTCTTAATGCATTAAAATGCATACATCCCACAGAATCAAAGGTTATCCATCGACAGCAAAAACCACATGAGAGATCAAGACCCTATCAGCACAAATACCCATTGGAAGAATATATTCTAGCTTTATATGTAATCTGTGTCCTCTGATGTGCAACTGTGATCTGGATGAGGCCATAGATATTAACCCTACTGTTGAAAAAGGGAATTATGCAAAAGGGTGGTGGAAAGCTTGAACCTCCATTTTTGATATTTATTTTCCGAATGAAAAAATATGTCCCTCAAAATATTCACCTCCAGAATACATGGGAATCTAAAATTGTGCTTTGTATAGTGTTATTTGTGTTTATTAATCACCATCAATCAGATGGAAGTGTTGCACTTGCAGTTTGCAATGGGACAGTGAATTAAACTCACTCTTGGTATAAAAAGTTTCAATTTAGATTGGGGCAAAGAGTTGCACCCATGCTCAGTTTGGCCTAGTAAGAATATTGGGTAGGACTTAATGTTCATGCATAATTATAGCTATTCACAAACGAAAATGCCTGTGAACTTTCCTGTTCATCTTTGTAGCTATTTTTCAAATCTTTAGCAAAGCATGAAAGAAAAACCAATGAAAGAAAATTATATGGAATCAGCGGTTGCAACCCTGAAATGAACTGGTTTATTTTTGAGTGTGTTCACTGTGGTAAAAAAATAAATTTCATTTTTCCAGGCTTGGACCCAGCATTGATTGCTAAAGGGGAAAAAAGGGGGAATTACAGTTATTCCCTGAGCAGCTTGCAAAAGAATATGGGCAGGGCTGCAGAAAAATCATAAGCACAGTAAAAATCACTCATTTTCTGTCATACTTATGGAGCACTGCTATTTTCAGGTACAACAAAAGCATGAAGAAAAAAAAAACTCTACAAGAAAAATAACCACCAAAATCTGCACCACCATCACAGCCCTGTGTAATGCTACCTGTAAGTCACTGAACAAAATTGTCACAGTAAGGGAAAGATGTCACAGTAAGAGCACGAATAGCCATTATGTCTCTCTCAACCCCTACTGGATTTGAAATTCAGGCCAAGAAAGTATGTTAAGAGTGGGTCTT